AGGGGGTTGGGGGTGGTTGGTTGTTTTGGGTCTTTTTTCCTGTTTAGAAGTTAGATGGAAAACAAGAAAGAAAAAGAAATTAAAACAAGAGACAGACTTACTGGTTATCATTGCTCCTGTTACAGAACCCAGAAATCCAATGCTGACCACAATGACAGAGATCAGTCTCCCCTGCCTATGCCTCTGCAGCATCACAAACATTAATACTCCCACAGCACCATGGACAAAGAGAGAGGAGAAGAGAGCCCAGAGGAAGACCCAGTACCACATCTCTGAAAGAAAGCAGTCAAATAAAAGGTTAATAGTTCTGAGACAAGAAGTTTACAAGTAAGAAACATGAAAACATTGCATACATCAACAATAAGAGAAAAGCAATATTATTTCCATCTTAAAAGGAATCAATGTGATAACATCAGCATATGCTCAAGACACCTTCCCCTCTTAGGAGTCTGTCATGAAGGAATAACTACCATGTCCAAAAAATTCTAAAAAAGGATTCTGGCACCATTTTAATCCAAACGTATTATTACAAGAAGTCAATCATTCTTTTAATATGTAATTGCAATTTTTTACTAGGTATTGTAAGTATACCTGAAGAATGAAATATTCTCTAAAGCAAAGACTGAATGAGGAAAACAGGGGGAATCGTTTGGGTTGGTTGGTTTGTTTTTGTGGGAGTTGTTTGTTTTAACAAGAAGAGACAGCATCAGGTAACATCAAATAGGAAAACTGCGATTAAAGACTTCAGTTTATCCACCCATGAGCCATAATAAGAGTGTTCCATCAAATTAATTTCAAATGCATAAATAAAAACACTACAACTTTAACAAGAAATTTTAACAAATCTCACTCCTTGCTTCTAATTGCTTAGCACAGAACTTCAGAGACAGGTAGTCACCACTATTTAAATTACTAAGAGATCATGAGAATGGGCAGAGTACAAACATTTCTTTGAAGAATGTCAGACGTGATCATTACATTAAAAGAAAAGAGCAGGAACCACCAATGAAGCTACATAAGAATTTAAGAATCTTTCTCACCTGGCAGCAATTTTCTGAGAAGATTTATTATAGCTCAAAAGGGTGGGGAAATACAACAAAAGGAGGGTTTGGGGTTTGCCTTTTCTTTCAAGTCAGCTACAATAGGTATAGATCATCAGAGAATTCACAAATCAGGGTACATTTTCCTGATTGACATAAGCCCATGAAATTGTCATGAAGTCAGGTTTTTTTTCTGCAGTCCCCCCTTAAAAAATACATACCTTAATATATATATATACACATACACACACACATACACAGAGCTTCCTTATAACAGCAGGATAGTTACAGACTATGCAGTGAGCCTGTATTATTGCAGCTTGATGCACATCAGTCAATTGAGGAGAAATATGACTCAATCAGATAACTTAAATACTTAGCAGCTCAAACAAAACATACCATGAAAGGATGGTGAGAAAGAATGGTTGCTACACAATAACCAAAGTCCTTTGAGTCCAGTATCAATATTGTATGTATATCCATAGCACAGAGTTTTAAGATTTTTCATTTAGCAGTAGATAGCTCTTCCCCTTTCACACAAGCACAAAAGGCAGAACTGTGTCATAGGACCTAAAACTCCACTAAATTACGGTAATCAAAAGGCTCTCTCAAGAGAGCAGCGAGGAATACGGTAAATCTACATTCAACTAATACTTCAGCTGCATTATTATGGCAGCCTACATTCAAGTAGCCAGTTATTCCAAAGTGAACGGCCAATACATAGATATGCTATGGGAAGGAGAAGCAAAGCTCTTGATATTGTGTCTCTGCAAAAATATCTGAGGAACAGTCTCAGGACACTGAAAGCTGCACTTTTAGTCAGTTTCTCCTAAAATGTGATTGCAGCTTAAGAGTTTGAAATGAGACCAAGAAAGTTTGTTGGAATCCGATTATCTCAGACACCGTCATTCCCTGTGTTCTCCACAGGCTCTACTAGGCACTGCATCACCTTTTAGGAAATCATTGTCTGTGTTCATTGTCAATTCTCATCAGGTGGAAAAGGCAACTGATTTCCAGTCTTAGGAAGATTTATTAGGAAGACTGTATTTTTAGAAGGGAAAGATTATGGGAAGGCTAAGTACTCCTGGGTTACTAAGAAACCAAAAATAATATAAGCCCTTACACAACAAAATAGCTACATAAAGAGTAACTATCTTGTGTCTTATTTACATTCCAAATAAAGCTCAAGGAAAATTATCATCACCCCTCACTTTATATTTAGGACAGGAGACATGGGAATAGAACTAGCCCCAAATGTCTTGTTGGATAAAGAAATAAAAACATGAGGGTTTTGGTACACACTTTCTTCTCCTAATCCTTGAAAAAGAACACACATTGAATGCATTCAAGAGGAAATTAGGGAACATCCAGAAATATTCCTTGTTCCACACAAATGCAGCTGTAGCATTTAAATAAACCAGTGATAAACCACTACTTCAGAGAAGCTTAAGTTTCCAAGTCAACAGCATTGTAATGTCAGTGATGCAAGAAATACAGCTAGTGTTACACATACCTGCAATAACCCAGTACCTTCTTACTATAAATAGCCTACAACTTTGCCAAACTGACTGTAGATGCTGAAAACTGTAGGTGTTCACTTCAGAAGAGTTGGAGATGAGCAGGGTGGAGGGAGAGAACACCAGGTCCAGGGATATAAGAGGGAGGAAAGAGCCAAAACTTTATTTGGGAAAGAGACAAAAGGGTTAGGGATACAGGCCTACAATATGCCTACTTGCAGAAGGCAGGCAGCAGGATGGAGGACACAACAAGCAGTGGAGTTAAGTGGCTTTATCCTGTAAAAAAGCATATTAGAAAAAAAGAGAAAAAAAATTGGGCTGGAAGGGACCTTAAAGATTGCCACCCCTACCATGGGCAGGGACATCTTTCACTAGTTCAGGTTGCACAAAGTCCCATCTTTTATTTGAAGTTGCTTTTTATTTGGACAGCTTGATCAAGGTCATATGCTTTAGATTATCCATTCTCTACCAATTTACATACCTAAATTTGTTAAATGAACGTAGATGAAAAGTTTTCCTTTATCAAGTTACTAGACAAGGTATGAGCAGAGAGACTTGAAGGGGTTTTTCTGTCCTTCCCTTCCCCTCACACACATTCTTGCTAAAGATTCTCATCTGCTGCAACAAGAACTGGATTTTTTAAAGGAAAGGAAAAGTCTTCCAGGAAACAAAGCAGAAGTCTGCCACTTCATCTCATGATCGGAACTATTTTAGCATCTCTCCTCAATATCATAACTCTAATTTCCTAGAGATTCATTATTGGGTTTTTCTTTTTGAATGGTTATTAGCAATGAATAGACAATTTATACTGTTGCATCCAGATACAAAAAAAGAAAAAGTAATAATCACACTACTCAAATGTTCTAGGATGATAGCTTACCTAATCATCATGACAGTAGCATTTCAAGATCTGATATTACAGAAATTGAGAACTTAATCACACAAAGCTTCTTAATCCTTGATTTAGATCCTATCTTTCTCTTACAACACTGGCTTTTCTAGTGAGGGACTTGATGGAACAGAGCAATGTATCTTCCAGAAAACTTATACGACATACAAAATCAGAGCCATTTATAATAATTTATCAACCTTTCATCAGTCATCTTTTCATGCTAGTGTTAAAAAACCTGGAAGATCTGTAATTCAAAGAATCATATCAATTAACTATTTCACATAAGTGTTTCCTGTTCTTTAGCTACACACTACACATTTAGTAAGAGACTACATTAGCAATTCTTCTAAATCCAAGAATTTTTCATTAGCTTCCTGAGTAGGTATCACAGAATCACAGTATGGTTCAGGTTGGAAAGGACCTTAAAAAGCATCTAGTTCCAACCTCCCTGTCATGGCAGGGACACCTTCCACTTGACCAGGTTGCTCAAAGCCCCGTCCAACCTGGCCTTGAACACTGACAGGGATGGGGCAGCCACAGCTGCTCCTCTGGGAAATCTATTCCAGTGTCTCACCGCCTTCACAGGGAAGAACTTCCTTCTAATATCTAACCTACAGCTCCCCTCTGTCAGCTTAGAGCCATTACCCCTTGTCCTGTCACTACATGCACTTATAAAAAGTCCCTCTCCAGATTGCTTGTAGGCCTCCTTTAGGTACTAGAAGGCTGCTTTCTCTAGAGCCTTCTCTTCTCCAGGCTGAACCACCCCAGTTCTCTGTGTTCACAGGAGATGTGCTCCAGCCCTCTGACCATCTTTGTGGCCCTCCTCTTGACTCCAATAGGTCCATGTCCTTCTTACATTGGAGACCCTATTGCTCCAGGTAGGGTCTTACCAGAGCAGAGTAGAGAGGGAGAATCATCATCCTTGACCTGCTGGTAACTTTGTTAAACCATGCAACCTCACCTTGTTAAAACATCACCCTAGTCCTAGAAGCTGAAACGGGACAAATCGGTTTTGAGCGCATTTCCTTTCTTATCCTCCTTCATTTGTTCTTTTTATCCTTAGTCGTTCAACACACTTGCTTATTTACTTCTGCTCATCAATTGAGCCAGTGATGAAGACAACTGGGTAAGCTGTTCGACATGGTTAAAGAAGGTAAGGAGGACAGCAATCTTTTAAGCAATCTAGATGTGGCTTCAAGCTTCATAAACCTAGAGGACAACAGAATCATTCTTACTCTGACAGGTTGAGTGCAAAGAACTTTATGCAGAGATGTTTGAGTGGAAGAGTTTGAGATTCTCTAAAGCTCAGTATCGTCTAACTCCAGAACCATGATGAGAGATGACTTCCAGAAAAAAAAAAAAAAAGTGTGCTAGATTAAGACTAAAAAGCAAAGAATGGGTTGGGAATAACACTGGATACCACTGGTAAACAGAGAAAGAGAATGTGGATGTCAGAACACAAATGGTCAAGACTTTGCTTGTTGAAAAATAGCTGAGTAGGTGAAAGATTTGCAATAGCTGTAAGAAGAAGGAAGTGAGACTGAAGTGTCTTTAAGAACACAGTGATATAACTATTTATGTCCTATATACTGATATATACTTTAAGAGGTATAAATCTATTCACATGATCGTCACTGTTACCTTAAAAAACAAAAAGCACACTATCAAAATATTTCAGTCCTTGTGTAGCTATACTAATTACCTGGCTCTTCTGGTGATAAGAGCTGCACATATGGAGGATTTTGCTGGCATTGTAATAATGATTTAGCTTTATCTGGCAGAAAGCTCCAAATACCAACCTAACTTCAGTTTATTTAGTCATG